AATTTCCCGTTCTGTTACAATGCATTTATAAACGATAACCTAACATCTAAATAGGGTGATTCTCTTTATGATATGGACTGTCCATCGAAATATAGGCAGCTTACAGGTTGAAACATGATTTTGTTATATATGTCTACAATATTGAACGCATTTATATAGACATAAAAGGAGAAATTTTTCCTGCATGCATATTCTTTTATTTACAGTTTTTCTTGCATAATTATAATGTTATATTATGTTATGTATATAAATTTAATCGTAAATCTAAATGTTAAGAAAAGAATAATATATAATATACCAATTTTTGATTATTACAAATTTACATGTCGACAAAAAATTGTTTTTTCTTTTTATACAACGAAAAATTATAAATTACGATAAGACTCAAAACATGGATCATAGTCTTTTTTACTTCACTCTGATGATAACTCATCTCATAACATATATATAAATGATATAACTTTTATATTGTGTTTTAATTTCCCCATATAATAATAAATAATTTTATATGATAATTTTGAGACTTTGTTTTATTTACATATAACTTACAAAAAGTCAGTTTCAAGATACTCACTGCAAATTCTTAAAAACAATAATTTAAACAAGTTAAATTTCTAATGTATATATAGCGCATATAGTCTTTTGCATATGTCATTTTTCTTTTAAACACAATTACGCTAAATCCGTGTGGAAAGCACTATGTTACATCTTGCTTAACTAAAAAGTGAAAAATATTCAGCAGAAATCTTAATTTCTTATCGAATCTAACACAAGTAAAGTTTAACATCGCTTATTTGGCAACAGTTTCTCTAAACAGTTCTCCCTTTATGTCCTAAAGCAAATCTAAACGTTCGCACGCATAATATATAATACATGTACATTCGAATGACAAAGTGCTAAAATTTGTAAAGAAATAGATACAAAAAATTAACATAATCACAGTTGTTTGGCAGGCTTGCGGGCGAGCGCGGCGCAGACATGATGCGTTTGGACAGGCTCTTTCGACGCAAATACCTCGTTTTTTTTACATGGTTTTATCACTTGGTCGATATAGTACTTCCTAGTAGCCTGTTTAAGCCTTCGGCATTGACATATTGAGTCTTAAACATAATCGTTTGTTCCAGGACTTGTTAATGGTTCCTGGGCCTGTACGTAAAAAAACAAATGCAAACATATATTTTGTGTATTTCCTCAAATCTTTGATATCATTTCTTTATAAAAAAAGAAAAAGAAAAAATATCTTAAAATTAAATTTTATATTTATATGGTATTATAAAAAATAAATATAAAATACTTTACATATAAAGAGATAAGAAAGAGATTCGCCAAAATAACTACAATTCAGAATGATTAAAAACATCAAGTTAAATTTTAAATAAACTTTGTTACCTCTTCTCCAACTGTAGCCGTAGGAAGCGGAAATCTATTCTTTTCAAGACTAAACTGATCCTCTGTAGTCTTCCTGTAGACGGGGTTATCAAAGTTCATACTAGTGACATTACGATGAAGATAATGTCTATAGCAGAGTATAGCCACAAGTGCAAGTAATAACAATCCTAAAGACACTACGCCTATCACAATACCGGCGACTAAGCCAGGATCTGTTGCTTCAACTGCTAAGCTTCCTTTTTCATCAGAATCTGCTGAAGATAGTGGATCTAAAAATAGCACATTTATTGTAAAAATTTTTAAATCAATATAAATAAAGAGTATTTTAGTATAGAAAGTTTCCAATACACTTTTTGGGTAGTTCTAATGTCCACTTATTATTGTATGGTAAATTATTAAAATTAATTAAGAAAATATCAAAATGAATTTAATTCCCAAGCAATATACGGATCATGATATTGTTAACAATTACAAACAGATAAGCGCACAGATAAGTGAACAGATGAGAATACAAATATAAGAAAGATATGTAAAATTGTACACATGCAAATCTAAATTCTTACGATATTACTTTATTCTTATAATGTTAGAGAAAAATACATGCAAGATATGTAGCACACTTATTTTATACATAAAATGACATGGAATAAATATATATAGAAAAACATTTGAACACATCTTTCGCCAATTTCGAGATTTTTATGTTATACTAAGTTTTAATATGTAAAACTAAGTTACACATTTTATATATATATATATTTCCTCGTATGTTCAGGAGTTGAAACAATCTCTTTCTCTCTCTCTCTCTCTCTCTCTCTCTCTCTTGTTGATTCTTTCCCTTTCTTTCGAAAGTAATTCGATAACATTAAATGTAGGCAAATATCTTAAAATTCATAAGATATATCACAAAATACAAGAAAATACATAAAAATTATATGATATTATATGATACATTCGTAAAATATATAAAATTATACGATACTTTTACAAAAATATTTCACCGTTTTTGGCCCTCGAAAACGATTAGTTTGAGTGTGCAGTCGGCTGACAAGAGGTCATAAGGTGGTACTCACTTCAATAATATTATAATTTATGTAGATAAGTTTTGGTATGAACTTTTATTGAGCAAAGGGAGAATGCACACTTCTCAAGTACTTTTGTAAAAGATCGAAATTAAAAAATTTCGAGCAGATAAGTAACATGCAAATAAGTTTAGCAAAGTACTATATCAAAGATTGCAGTTCGGCGACAACGTGCCTGACTTAAGCGAGATCGCTGGTTCAAGTCCCAATGAGTGAGCCTTTTTAAAATTAGAATGCAATTTTTACATAAAATAATTGTAAATCACATTAATTTATACATTTGGTCGATGTATTTCAAAAATAATTAATTATTTTAAAAATAATTAAACATGTATATTTTCCTTTTCTATACTCTGCCTTATGCCTGTGTACAATCCATACACAAGCCATATGCCTATGTACAATCAACGCGTATATCACAGGCATATGAAAGAGGTCACCATGCCCGGACACAGGCAACAGAACTAGGATACTCTGCCTTGAAAATTCGTTTTCCGAATTGATATTTATTAGAAATAAAATTATTTAAAGATTTTTATATTTGAGAATGTAAGAATATTATGAATAATTTGATTTTTTAAATAATTAAATAAATTTAAAAAACGATGGAAAGTAAATTGTAAAAATAAAAATTTCTGTCATTTCCAAAAATAGAAAATAGAATATTTATACAATATCGTATCATTTGGAAATTTCTTAAAATCAGTTTCTTTAAAATGGTTTGGAGCATTTGAGTAACGTATTATACGTCCCCTTCTAACATTCTTATAATTTGTTATATCCTTGTGAAGTAGACGAGTGTAAAACAGCAGTTTTTGGATACGCGATGATATAGCGCTCCGTTAAACTTATACTTTAATGCGCAAAATATTATATGCTTATTGTTTCCCTTATTTTAAAGTGCCCCAAAATGGCCGGATTGTTTTCTTTTTTTAATTACGCCGGTTGAAATAAAGATAGAGATACATATTTATCTCAAATGAAAATTTATTGAATGAGGTTATTGACTAAATACAACATTATTTAAATAGCGCCAATCAACAGTGACACATTGGCGAAGTCGATCAATGAAGTTTTCGAACATTTTTTTCAACATAGATTTAGATATTGCACCCATTTCTTTTCCAATTCGACGCTTCAGGTCATCAGTGTTTCATGGATTCGTCATGTAAATTCCTGATTTTAATAATCACAGGAAAAAAATCAGAACGCATGTTAAATTTGACAAACGAGGTGACCAGCTAAAGTCGATACTATAGAAGATAAGTCTTATGTCAAACGCTTTGCACAAAACGTCAATTGCCTTCTCCAACAGTATGGCACTACACGTTGTGCCATTCTATTGAAACCGCTTTAACTCGTAAGTGGTTTCAATAGAATGGCGCTTTTTTTCGTTGTAGGAGATATGGAATGTCCCGATCATGTCCACGTATCGCTTAATGTTCAAAGTTCCTTCTAAAAAAAAAATAACCTTACAAAGCCGTACTGAGCGACTCCCATCTATACCGTAATTTTGAACGAATAATCTGCGGATTGTCTCCAAATAAATTTTTCAGCTGTGTTGCCACAGACTTGACTTGCACAGTGGCCGCACTGCATTGGATAACAACGTGCTACCTTTTTCTGTATAAAAAAAAACATCCTGCCATATTTCTTACACATTTCTTACATATTTGTGTAACGTACGAGATTAAGAACGCTTCGACATTTATTGGAAGATATTAGATTATTAAGTATAAAATGTCCGATTTCGAACTGAAAGTTTGGTTTATTATATCTCAAGCAAGAAGCAGTATAATTAATCAAAGTATACACCTAAACTATCGATACAGTTTTGCCATCTTAACGATAGCTTGTTAATGCCGATAGCGAAGAAGCCTGGAGAGCAAGTGGTGATAAAATCGCGAAAGGCGTTTCCTACAGCTTGTTGGGAATTAAATATTTTTCCTTGCAAGAAGTGGTCTAATGCCTGGAAGAAACGGTAGTCAGTTGGTGCAAGGTCTGGGGAATACGGTGGGTGGCAGAGAGTTTCCAAGTCCAGCTCCTGTAGTTTGAGCAACGTTATTCGTGCGACATGTGGTCAAGCATTGTCCTACAAGAAGATTGGTCTGTCTTTATTCACCGATTTCGGCTGTTTAATCCCAAGTTCTTTCATCATTTCGTCTAATTGGTTACAGTAGACATCCGCCGTAATCAATTGACCAGGTCTCATGAAGCTGTAGTGGAAAACACCAGCGTTGAACCACCAAACAGACACCATTAGCTTTTCTTGGTGAATATTCGATTTCGGAGTGTGTTTTGGCACTTTATCTTTATCCAACCATTATGCTAAACGCTTGCGATTGTCGGAAAGAATCTATTTTTCATCACATGTAACATATGCGGTGTAAAAATGGTTCGCCTTTATGTCGCGACAGCAAAAAAAGGTAAACTTCGAAACGATTTCTCTTCTTCTTCTCTTCTGCTCCTTTAATTCATGTGGAACCCATCTATCCAGCATTTTAACCTTAGCGATTTGTTTAAAATGGTTTAATATTGTTAGAATAGTAACGTCAGATCTTGCTACTAATTCACGCGTAGTTTGAGATCTCTCCGCTTCCACCGCAGCTTTCAGCTCATCATTATCCACCTTGCTCTCAGGTCGCCCACGTGGTTCATTTTTAAGATCAAAATCGCCAGATCAGAACTTCTCAAACCATCGACGTACTGTACGTTCATTAGCCACATCCTTGCCAAACACTTCGTTGACACTTCGAATTGTCAGCGCTGCATTAGTTCCAAGACGGAACTCATATTCGAAAATAACGCGAATTTTTTACTTATCCATGGTTTACAAAATTTAATCTGCAAAAGACAATTCGACAGATAATCACAAACCAAAACATGCGTCTGAAAGGCTGATGACGTATCTTCACAATAAAAAANGTGAAATATCAGAGATATCGGATATCAAACTTGGTACGAGGTAATCAGACATTTCACACAGCTGATAGGTCTATTTGCCCTTCCCTTCCATTTTTATTTGAATATCCTATTAACCTAGGCGGATTATTTACAAGACTATAAACTTTTTTTTAATTCTCCGTTGCTTTAAACGAAACTTTTCATTTTCAATATTTAAATTTTTATAACGCAAAAAAAAAAATATATATATATTGTGACAATGCAAAATTTTTTTCGTTACTCAGGCCGTAGCCTGGCCGAGGAGGAGCGGGAAATTCACGCCTTCTCACGAGAGAAGGCGACCGAATTCATTAATTTTGACTGTTGTGCACCGTTAGTGCATGTGACATGACCCGCGACTACTATATTTTTTTTGAGTGTAAGAAAACCCCGAGCTAGAACACCGGATGAGAGGAAACCGAAAGGAAACGGAGCGGCCGGGAGGAGTCAAGGACGTACGAGAGCAAGGGCTCGGAAGGAGCGGCTAGAGCGACACGCGGAAAGACGGGGAGATCTTCGCCCGAATGGACGGCTAGTAACGAACAGCAGGGATGGCCACTTTGCGCTAAGAGAGGCGCAAGGCCCCGTGACCGGGTCGCAGATTATGCGGAGGAGGACCCCGGGGGGGAATCCTTTCGAACGGCTGCGAGCCCTCTGACAACTGGAACTTTTACACTAATATGCTAATAGCATGATTCGAAAAGTTCTTAATGCAAAAATATTTTATTATAATATTTTGAAAAGCTCTCGAGGTAAGCTACAAAAATATGCTATAAAAAGTAGGAGTTTCCATTTAAGAAATTGAAGGTGACCTTCATATGATCTTCAAATCACCATTTTACGCATCCCTCGAAATCATACAACTTTTGTATGAAACATTGTTCTGTAAAATGCTTTGTTTCTGAAATATGTTTGTCACATTTTAACTCACTCATTCTGTATAGATCGACTCATATCGTGAGAAGAAGCGTAACAACATCTACAGAACAGACATAGCGGAGGAAATTTGTCCTTCTCTTTTAGTCGCTTGGTAGAAACTAGACAAAGAGAAAGAGAGAGAGATGCAGAACGTGCTTACATATCTTTCCATGTAAGCTCAATGTGTGTGTACATACTATCGTAACTTCCAATATTATTACCAGTTCTGAAAAACTAAAGTATATATATAACATCGATATAGATCGTTTGTTTTTGCTGGCAGTGAATATCGGCACGCAGCTTTTATGTAGCATCTGTGATCAACTGAACGCAGTAGGCATCTTACGTAAGCGCCAGCGTCTGACAATGAATTTACCTGTCTGGCCTTGCCAGAAATATTTTGCGTACCACAATTTGGGTATAGAAGGTATGCGTGGCGTATAACTTAAAAAATAAGTTTCGGACAAGGTTTTACAAGAAAAATTATTCTAGAAACTAAAGAGGATTGTATACTTTTTAAAGATAAGAGGTTGTTTTCTATTACCTAATATATAACGTAAAATATATAATGAGAAAATAACGATAAATTATTATTTGGCAATAATTAGAAATCACAAGCTTTAATATAAGGTTACCTGACGTTAAGTTAAACAATGTTTATGTAGATTATTGGTCAAACTGAACAGAAAAGTACCATATTATTTTATAAATAACAATGCAAATTTTTGAGTTATTAATTAAAAAAGATTAGTGAGTGACTGCGTACGATACGGTGGATGAACTCTATAAAGATTGTGCCTCAATTCTCCACAATCGCTGCTCGTCAATTGGCAATTAACGGAAAAGTGGAGAGATGCTCGCTATTCCCAACGTTATTCTGCTTTTCGCTGACTATGTGCGATAAGCAGAAAGTTGAATTATTGTCTTTATAAAGCTCATTCACTACATCGTGCACGTGATCATTTGTGAGTTATTTATAAGCTGCTTTCCATAACAAAACGACAGTTATAGCCTGTTTAACCAATTTAGGATGGATTTCTTTAACATATAAGAAATAAACATGGCATGAAATATAAAAATTAGCACATGAATTGTGTTATGAATAAATTTTCACTAGCATTATAATCAATTTTGCATATATCAATGAGATTGAAAATGAATATTTAGCTTCCCGCCCTTTCTTTTCTCTTTCTTTCAAAAGGAACCCATGAATATATTACAAAAATATCATCCAACCAAACTTACTGGGAGTTGTAGTTATATTCAGAGGCTCAAGCGTTCTAAACGGCTGTGTAGTTGCTTGCGTTGTTGATGCTACAGTTGTAGTAACTGGAATACCCGTATTCATGCAACATGAATGTAAATAAATGAAACAACAAAAATAATGAACCTATAATATTTTCGAGCAATTCTCAATAAAATGATCGCAAATTTTCGTTTCAAACTCGAAAATCGAATACACGTCTTTCTTGCACATATTTTTATTATACTTTATTGGTAGACTTATATGAAATCTATTATGCCAAATGATTTATTAGTGTTTAGGTAATAACAATTTTGTACAGTATCGACATTAAAATAAATATCCAGGTAAACAAAAATGTTGAATATAGTGTACAAACATTTAATACGTGCTTTGTGACGTCATTGCAACAGTACAATACATTTAAAACATCCTTGATTTAAGAAATACTCATTTATTACACCATAATTTAATCTAAATATTGACTTCTTATTACTATAATAATATCGGATTAATTGCGTTCTCTTTTAGGTAAAATAATATTTATGACGTTTAGAATATCGCCACAATATTACCGTAATTTTCACAGTATCAGATGATTTTCTTATATATTGATAAAATGCTTATATATTGACAAAATGCTTGTTGTATAAGGACGCATCTTAACGTATGCTAGTCACAATGCAGACAATATACTGAATTATGTCTATCTGGATATGCGTGTCATAAATATATACATGAAACAATTTTCGAGTGCAACGAATAGACAAGATTAAACCAAAAATGAAGTTCTGAGTACGTTTCTTATAAATATAAATAATAAGTATAAATAAAAATGCACCAATAACATGCAACAAAATACTCTCGCAGAGAGCTTAAATTTTATTTCTATGTCATACGTTGTACTATAACACATTAACGAATAACTTTCCGTGCTAACATTATTTAATTAAATATTCTACTAATTTAAATTACTTTATATTAAACTTATGACATTATAATTCATGACAAGACGACTGTTTAAGAAATCTTAAGAGATCACTTTTAACGTTAATTTATTGGCCCATCGTGATTTGATTACTATAACAGTTGAAACTTGCAACAATAATAACTTGCAAATATCGGAAAGTTATTTGTTAATCACGATATTCTCTCTTATACTGACTCACCACTTTCCACACACATTAATCCGTCGGGTAACAGCCGTAAGCCATCAGGACACGCACATGACAACAGTGGAGATCTGGAGTTGATTTTAGGTGCTGGTAAACATAGATGGCTACAATGCCCATTGACAGCCTGGCACTGATTCATTCCATCAGGCTGTCTATATGGGTGATATACATGAACTACCATTGGATGTTGAAGCGTTCTGATAGATGTTACAGCCTCTACTTCCTTTCCGGTGAATTTATTAGCTTTAAAAATCGTTTCCTTATCCCAATCAGTCCAGTATACATAATCTTCAAAGGTCGTGATACTAAAGGGATGCCTCAGATTATCGGGAGAATAGAGAACTGTTCGCCTCCCGGTACCGTCGTAATTACAAGAACCTATGATGTTCAATTTTGCGTCTACCCAATATATTCTTTTGCCGATCAAGTCTAAAGCTAAGCCATTAGGCCACTTAACATCATTGCCAACAACCACCTGCAATAGATTTTTGTCAGAAATCAAGGCAATTTAATCGATAAACGCATGTAATGTAATATATGGATGATATATAGTTATATAATTATTTTTGCTTATTATTTATCATTCTCATTCTATAACTATAGTTCACGGAACAAGAGATAAATTAGTAATTTCAAATAAGAAAACCAACATTTCAGAAAAAAGAAAAAAACTAAACGTAAATTTAAGTAATAATTTGAAGCAACAATAAAAAGAAATATAATTATAAATAAAAATTCGCACAATTTTATTATCATTTGTATTTATATGTAAATCTTTAAAAATGCTTACACAGCACAAATAATCTTAATCTTTCCACACAACATTATAACGTCTTAAAGACATCCAAAATACGTCTTAAAATTAAAAAAATGTCTTATAAAATTGTCAAAATGATGTTTTTATCACGTTCTTAAGACATCCCATGTCCTAGTTTAAGATATCGTTGTTTTGAGATATCTTCAAAACATCATATTTAACATTAATTTGAAACATTTATATGTGTTCATATAATTATAGATTTTTAGGATTATATAGACATTTTTTTAAAGGGAAACAATTTTTATTTATTATCGTTTTTTGCAATCGGTCAAGAATTATGATTAAATTGTGAATATCATTTTAATTGACCACGTTGCTATGAAAAAATGGCATTCAGTATTGCAACATAGATAAATATGTTCCATTCTTTTAAAATAATATATCTGTATAACTAAGGGAGATTCTTCCCTGATTCAAGTTACAAGTTACTCGGGATGTCTCGGGACTCATGGAACAAACTCCAGGAAGTGGTAGGTCTCATAAAGAAAATTAATTTTTGTTAATGAACCCGTGAACTCCGACATGTCCTTAAAAAATTATGCGTTCTTGTTCGAACTGCCTGCGAATTAGGCAACTGGTCGTGTGAGAGCATTACGCGTGACATTTGATGATACTAATTTGCGTCCTTTGATTTTTTTTTGGCTTTTGTATTATTTTGTTTTATTTTATTCAGAAATTCAATGCTACACAGATGTAATGAATATAATCAAGTGTAAGAGGTAGTATTCACGATGATAAATTTCAGACCAAGATTTAGTATTTATGTTGATAAATGCCTAAAAAGTACTGGAATGTTAGTAAATTCTCAATAATTTCTTTAATTTTTATATCTGGCTAATAATTCAATCCAAGATTTATCATCGTGGATATTATCTATAGACATAGTATGAATAGACGGAACATGCCGTCGCTTGACTGACGCCTACGAATAATGGAAGTGAGACAGAGCAGGAAGTACACGCGCACTCTTTCTGTCTTCTTACGTTTGTTCATTTTCTACATTTGAAGTTAAGTTGTAAACATATATTTGTTATTAATTTAAAAGTATTTTTTTCTGTATATGATAAGAATAATAGAAACAAATTTTTCTCGCACCTAACTTAAATTGTTATATTATTATTAATTAATTAAGTCATAATAAATTTTAAATGAATATTAAGTTAAATAAATGAAATAAAACTCAGCAAATATCAACTAATACTAACATAACATCAATGTAATATAATTTCCCACTCAACAATATAAATGCTATATAACGCATGTGTTATATAACAGTTATATTATTGAGTGGGAAATTATAATATTGATTATGTTACTGTTAATTGGTGTTTGATGGGAAAAATTATTACATTGAAATAAAAATGTGTGTGTTAATATGTGACATAAATTTATACTTACATTTCCATAAAAGTGATTTTTTATAAAATATTCTTAATAATATTATTATGACAACTTAATAATAACATTATGACAACACTACATAAATAACTTCAAATTTCTTTCGCCGCACTGTTACACGCGTTCTAACTGGCTATAATCCATTTGCGCAGGCGCGAGAAGACAAAAATAATGCGCGTACAATTCCTACTGTGTTTCATTCCTATTATTCGCAGGCGTCACATTCTTTTATAGAAAGGAGAAGGAATGAATGCTCCTTCAATTTATACGATGTCTATGATATTACTCCTAAGGCAGGCACTTCGCACATTCTAATGTTTTAACCTATAATAAAATGTCTAAATAAAATGAAAAAAAAAAAAAAAAAAAACAACAATGAAAGCAGAAACAAAATCAAAAGATGTAGACTAGTATCATCAGACGTCACGCACAATGCTCTTGTGCGAGCAGTTGCTTACCTTACAGGCGGTTCGAATAAGGACGTATAATTCATTAAGGACATGGATACAGGTTCCTTAACAAAAATTGATTCTCTTAGTGAAACCTACCATCTTCTGATACTTGTCCCATGGATTCTGAAACGCCCTATATATAAACATTTTAAAACGTATATTAAAATTAAGGTCATTTGTGTTATATAAAGTTTTTTTCAAAGATTTACTCACATTTGCTCAGCAGGATTAGCAGTGATTAATGTAACAATTTTCGTTAATGTTCCCTTTTATAAAATTTTTCTCCTAAAAATATTTTGAATATTTAAGATTTCCATTTCCTACCGATCGATGAGAACCATCCATGCCAGCTCGTTCAATACGCGCTTCGTCGCTCCAATCTGTCCAGAACATCCAACCTTCCAAAGGATTCAATGCTATTGCCCTAGGTTCGTGAATACGATCTCGTATTAGAGTTTTCCTCATATTTCCTTCAAAATTAGCTAATTGAATCGTATCTTTCACAGAGTCCGTCCAATAAATGTGACTATAAATCCAGTCAACTGCCAATCCATCGGACGTAGTGAGATCGTTCTCGATAACAACCGTGCGCTCATTCCCTTCGTCTATTGGCGCTCTAAATATATGATTTGATTTATTATGCAACTCATTATAAGAATGAGAATCCACTTGAATCGAACATCTTAAATATTTCACCTATTTTTGATAATATGAAAAAATGTCGAAGGAAAAAGTTGTACCGTTCGGAAAAATTTGTTTTCAAGGTTATTTTTTCAGAGATTTGAAGGTCAATATCAAGAGAAGTTCAGCTATGATAATATATGGCTTTTAAAATTATCTTGAACATGAAAGATTACGCGTTTAAAGAAAATAGAAGACTCAAACATTTATGCTTTTCAACACAAGTTTATTTAAAGACATGTTCAAAATAATCTCCTCCGATATCAATGCATTTTTTAATATGATACATAAATGATATTCTTGCTCTTTCTATCATTTTTGAATTTGTATTCTCATATGCACCCAAAATACGCTCTCTTATGTTCTTCTGTGTAATTGATACACCGCTGTAAAAAGTGTTTCTTAACATTCCCTGTAAAAAGTCAAAAAGATTTATATAAAGAAATTTTCAGGAACTTTTGTGTTGAAGAGCATAAATGTTTTATTTTTCTAGTTTTTTCAAACATATGTAATTTTCCACGTTAGGGATAATTTAAAGGTCGTCGTTGAATCCTTCTCGATGTCGTTTATAAAATTGTGCAAACAAAAACATATAGTTCTATTAAAAAAAAAAAAAAAAAAATATTCAAATCTCTGAAAAAATGGCCTTGAAAAATTTTCTTGTCATCATAATTGTTCCTTCGAACGGTATTAACATTTCCTTAGACATTTTTTCGTATCATCAAAAATAAATAAAATATTTAAAATGTTTGATTTAACTGGACCAACCTGTGTAAACCACGAAGAAAAGAACATAAGAAAAAAATGAAAGAAGAACATGAAAAAGAGGAACAAGAAAAAATACGAATAAAAATATAAGCGAAGACCTAGAAGTATATAAATAAATTTATAAAGAAAAAAGCTAGACGAAAGATATGTGTGTGTGTGTGTGTGTGACATAATATAGAAGTTAAGAAAATTTCAAGGAACATCAGTGGTACACAAAGTACGATCACTTTTTTAAATCAACCTTAGCAGAACACTGGATGGAGACTGGACATTCCGTACAATACGCCAAAACTACGATATTAACCCCGTCAACAAGGCTATTTCGCCAGAAAACATTGTGAAGACCTGGAAATTTTGAAACATCCTCACAACCTCAACCGAGACAAAGGTGTACAGGTGAACCCTATTTAGCATACTGCCTTCCCGGTTTTTTAATTGACCAGCTGATCAATAAAAACACGCTGATTGGCTGGAACCCTCCCCTTTTCCCACCCACCCCTCCTTCCAGGGATAAAAGAGCATATAAGGACAACCAATATTTAACAGGGCTCAGTATCAGAGCTCCAAGCCCTGGTAATGCAAACCGCAATGATTGCGAAACGTTGGTAGAACGCTGATTTAAAACGCGGCATATATCCGGAAGTAACGCAAGTGGATTGTACCAATGACCGCGAAAGCCTTAAGACTAGTATTGAGAATTATTAATAGATATATATAAGCAACAGAAATTGAGGATCAGCAAATTGAGGAATATAAAGAACATGAGACAACCTAGTCGAACACAAGAAAAAATATCTCATAAAAGCAGGTTACGAGGTGGTATCATTACGCAAGCGCTATTTTGATGAGAATGGCTAGTATTTATAATCTGATCTTATATTTAAGATCATTTTAAATTCATCTTTAGATGCTTTGTAAACAATGAAATGAACTGTAGCATCTGAAGATGAGACATCGTCATAAGACGGTCTTAAATATAAAATCTGACTATGAATATTGACTTATAATATTATTAATAAAGATATAATATTGCAACAATATTACAAGGATATTACAATATATGTGGTTGTCCCATTTTAATTTATACACCCAAATATCTCATGAATAGTGCATTTTGGAGAAAATGTTTCATATAAATGTTGTATGGATTGGAAAGGAACATAAGGAAGTGTCATTGGTTTGAACTTTAATAATTTGAAGGTCACATGAAGGTCATGTTCAATTTCTTAAATGGAAATTCCTATTTTTTACATATTCTTGTATTAGGTAAATCGGAAAGTTCCGTCCATCTAGCGGCGAGTAGCTATAGCTAGAACTGTCGGTAACTCTAATATTTAAACCAAGTTTAATTTTTTAGTTTTACCATCTGTCATTAAAATTTAGTATATAAAGGTATACGTTTGCATCAATAACATTGTTTCTTACTGCATCAAAAATGTTGAAATTTGAGCCAAATAAACGTCATTTGCGCGAAGTGTTACTTTTGCTTCAAATGAAAGAAAACTGCAGCTGAAGCTCATCGAATGCATGTAGAATGCATGTAGAAGTTTATGGTAATAGTGCTCCTTCCGATAAAACATGCAGAGAACGGTTTCGACGCTTTAAAAGTGGTGATTTTGATGTGGAGAACAAGGAGTTCTGGATGGCCAAGAGCTTTCGAAGACGAAGAATTGCATTGGTAGATGAAGACCCATGTCAAACGCAAAAACAACTTGCAGAAGCATTAAATGCACGACCTGTCATTTCCGATCGTTTGAAAGTCTTGAGAAAGATCTACAAAGAAGGAAAATGGGTCCAATACGAACTAAAGCCAAAAGACATTGGAAGGCGAAAAACCATCTGCGAAATTCTGCTTGCTAGACAACAAAGAAAGGGGTTTTTGCATCGTATAATCACTGAGGATGAAAAATGGATATATTTTGACAATCCCAAACGTCGAAAAACTATTTGCGACCCCGGCCAATCCTCAACATCGACGTCAAAGCGGAATATCCACGGAAAGAAGGCAACGCTCTGTATTTGGTGGGATCAGAAGGGTGTAGTGTACTATGAGCTGTTGAAATCTGGTCAAAGAGTCACAGGGCATCTCTACCGAGAACAAATTATCCGTTTGAGCCGAGCATTGTACGAAAAATGACCAGAATATGAAACGAGACAACATAAAGTGATTTTGCTTCATGACAACGCTCAGCCTCACGTCACAAAACTTGTCAAGGAAACGTTAGAAGCACTTCTCTGGGAAGTGTTATTCCATGCGGCTTATTCATCAGACTGTGCTCCTTTCGACTATCACTTGTTTCGGCCGACAGAATACGCACTTGCTGAGGAACGTTTCAATTCTTATGAAGACGTCGAAAAATGGATCTCTACTGGGTAGCCTCCAAAGATGAGTCATTCTTTCGCCGCGAAAGATGAGTTATTCTTTCGCTTGCTGCCCGAAAGATGGAAAAAAATCATTGCTAACGACGAGCAAGATTTTGATTCATGTATTGTTTCATTTTGTTTATTAAATAAAATCATACTTTTTGCAAAAAAACAGACGGGACTTTCTGATTTAGCTAATAGGTTATCTCGAGAGATTTTCAAAGCACTATAATAAAGTATTTTTGCATTAAGTACTTTTCGAGTTATAAAGCTTAAAAGTTGCAGTACCGCCGGCATTAGCACTACCCACAATAGATATAAGGACCCCATGGTTCGTCACATATATATATATATATATATATATATATATATATATGAACAAAGACATGTTGCAGAGAGCGTGCCAGTGCTTCAGGACGAGGATCGAAGCAATCATTGAAACAAAAGGGGGTAGAATAATTTTACTCTAAAAGGATTCCATTAGTGATGTACAAAGTTTTTTTGTAATTTTTACATTTTGACAAGTAGAATTAGAGTTTAAACAAATTATTCATTTTGTCCGGATTTGGGTGGCGGACACTGTATATGTATATATATTGGATATGGGAATAAGTTTCCGCCCATTGTAGAGAGATGTCGTCAATAGCACTGCTTGCAGATTTGATAAAACGGCAATATATGTGGTTGAAAGATGTGTGTTCAAGCTTTTGAGCCCAATGGCATTCATTTGAAGTGTAAACCAGAGTAATTTTTTTGCGTTGAAAATGTCGGAATTTATTCCAAAAAACATTTGCAGGAAGTTTTACTCTATTATTTTATTTGTAAGAAAAGTGTTGCGGAAACGCATAGTTTGCTTGTAGATATTTACGGTGAGCATGCTCCATCGAATACTACGTGTAAAGAATAGTTTCGGCGATTCAACAGTGATTTCGACGTGCGTGACAAAGAACGCGAAGGTGCACCAAAAAAATGTGAAGATGCAGAATTGCAAGCATTACTCGAAGAAGATCCATGTCGATCGCTCGATGATTTGTCAAAAGAATTAAATGTTGATAGATCCACTGTTGGAAAACGTCTACACGCAATGGGAATGGTGCAAAAAGAAGGAAATTGGGTGCCATACAAATTGAATGAGAGAAGCATGGAAAGACATTAAGTCACGTGCGAGATACTGTTTCAACGACAACAAAGGAAGGGTTTTCTGCACCGTATCGTGACTGGCGATGAAAAATAGATATAGTACGGTAACCCTAAACGCCCGAAAGCATGAGTGACGCCAGGTTAACCAGGTCCATCAACGCCAAAACGGAATATCCATGCGTCGAAGATTATGTTGTGCATCTGGTGGGATCAAAGGGGTGTTGTATATTATGAGCTGCTGAAATCGTCCGAAACCATCACTTGCGACCGTTATCGACTACAACTGATACATTTGAACCAAGCTTTGAAAGAAAAACGATCGGAATGGGACAATAGGTACGACAAGCCGATTCTGCTACATGACAACGCTAGGCCACACGTTAGAAAACCGGTCAAGAAATACTTGGAAGGAGTGAAGTGGGAAATTCTGTCCCACCCGCTGTATTCGCCGGATATTGCTCCTTCAGATTTCCATTTGTTCTGGTCCATGCAGTTAGCCCTTTCTGGAGAGCGATTCAGTTCTTATGAAGGTATCAAAAAAAGGCTTGATGAATGGATCGCTTCAAAAGAACAAGATTTCTTCCTTCGAGGAATCCGCTTATTACCTAAAAAGTGGGAGAAAGTTGTCGCTTCCGATGGGGCATATTTTGAATGAACTCACTTTGCATTGTTTTGTTTAAATAAATATCTCTTTTTCACTAAGAAAAGGTGGAAACTTATTCCCATATATATATAATACTTTGGATTCATGGGGTGATCAGATAAATTTGGCTCACTTTAAACGTTTTCACCGGTAACGACTTCAATTGTAACTCAACGGTAGAAATTATTCCTCCTTCATACTATCAACCATACGAAATGTATAATAAAACCTCTTAATGGAAAGTCTTGTGTAAAAAATTAATAGAATGGATTAAATTGGAAATAGAAAGAGGAAATAAGGAATATATATGCAATATGAGTACATATATTAGGTGTACAACTTAATTCTCGGCTTTTTAAAGGAAAATATATTGTTTATTACAAAAAGAAAAAAACGAATAGTCTTTCAATTTTCGAAGAAGTCTCCGTTACTTTCTACACACTTCTGCCATGTTTTGGGTAACTGACGAAATCCGCTAGGGAAAAAAGATGTGTTTTTGAGTTGATAAATTTGTCGATGCTTTGTCGACTTCCTCGGGAGATTTGAATATGACGGGAAAAAAGTTAAATTTGAATATGAAGTGGGAATCAACCAGGTGATTTGATGTTGCAAGGATCGAAAAAGATGGTAATCAGAAGGGACGAGGTCTGGAGAATACGCCGCGTGAGGGAGAATTTCCCAGCCTATGCCGGAGATTGACTTCCAAAGTTGTTTTCACCATGTACGGCCGCGCATTGTTATGCAGTAAAATTATCTTCTTCCTTCCAGTGTCAGTAAAAGGTCTTTTTTTCTTTAAGTGCGTCACTCAATCTAATCAATTGCTAATGGTAACGCTCAGAATTGACAGTTTCACCAGGTTTGAGTAAATAACTGCCTTTCTGATCCCACCAAATACACAGCATCTTTTTTACATGAATATTATCCCGAAACGTTTGAAACCACTTTTTACACGTATTATAAAACAGCTATAACATTTTCACTTCACAAGGCCGAGCAAATCATTTCTTTAGTATCGACAGCATTTTTCTTCAGTTGGAATGTGATAAGGAGGTAATGCCTTAGATACTGCTTCTCGATCGACATCGCTTTCATTATAACTTTTTGAGATTATACCAACAGCACTATCAACTATTATATCTCATTTTAAAGCTGACGGGTAGCGCTTTAAAACGACTATATGGCGGGGAAAAAATTTAAATTTGAATATGTAGTTGTAGTTGATTAAATGTAGGGGCAGAGAATTAAGCTGTACCTTTAATACAATCATGATGTTATTATATAGTCTGTCTAATATAAGCGTAACAAATTTCTGCTTAAAAAGCGTTCCCAACGAGAAATGTACATCGAATTGACATCAAATCGACGTCGAAGCAATAAAAATTACATTGAATCGACGTCGATTTAACGTCGATTCGATGAGTCATTTCTCACCGAGTTACATTAAAAACTTTTGGATAAACAGATAGAAAGAAGGGTTCTTTCCCTATGATAATATACAAAGAGTTCCAAATTATTGTCTGACTTTCGCTAAAGAATGACGTATTTAATGATGAATACCGGAATAGGGTAGGTCGAGGTGAATCGAATCACACGACGAATTGGATTAACATAAACTTTGAGACAGTTGTTAGTTTTTTCTTTTCAAACGAGTACGAAGGAAACACCCAGAGATAACTGACACAATAAAACAGCCTAAATAAAAAACAAAAGCTAATGGCAACTGTCTCAAAGTTTATATTGATCCGATTCTTCCTGTAATCTAATTTGCCTCGGTCTATGGAAAATTTGAATGCCAATAAGATGGTCGAACTTTACCAGAAATCGTTAATAATATCTGCCGAAAAAGTAGTTTTAAAATAAAAGTCAGAATTGAATCCTTCAAGAGTACAACCTAAAACATTGGAGTCGTCTTTGCTCGCAATGGAAGGAAGAAAATAATGTCGAAACACTAGGTCTTGCCATTATAGTCATCAGATGACAATCTTACTGAAAATGCTTAGGCATTAATAAAGATTAAATTGCGTGGAATAAAAGTATACTAGATTCATTCAATATGTTGATATTTCGAGAAAATGCTGTAAAATTGGTAGAGAATATGCCTGGAAGATGTCAGGTAGTAACTGACAATGATAGTAAATGGACGACTTATTAATATAAAAACGTTGTAGTACCGATTGTACGTAAATCATTCTTTCATTTTTTTGTAATATATTTTTTGATAATAAACAGTTTAAAAGTTATGTCGATCACGCTCTTATTAAACAGACTCTATTTAGATTTATTTTTGTTTATGTTAATGTAAGACGGAATATACACTCATTGCAATATAAAGTAGCGCTTCTAGAATCTGGGAACGAATCTGGGAACAATGAAAGTCGGTATATAACACAATTACAGATAGTTGTGCCACTGATTATAGATGGGCTGCGATTGCCTGCTAAAATCTGCCATGAGAGGAGTTTATATTGTTACCACCGTGGTCACGTGAATGGCTATAAAACGAACACTGCGTACATTATGACCAATGTATTTGTGGAATATATGTTTGTGATTATTCGACAACACATTCGAAGTAGTTATGAATAACTGACAGAGTTTGAAAAAGGCAGGCCGGTCGTCACCTGTGCTGTTCGAACTGTATTGTGCAATAGTGTTGGGAGCAATGGAAACGTGAGCGAACACACAGTGTTGGGAAGGCACTGGACAGGGTCATCGTTCGACAAACGAGAACGAATCGAAGGACGTCACCATCCAGAAACATGTAGTGGCATCACTAGAGATTTCTGCACAATTGCACGAGGTAACTTGCAGAATGGAATTTTCGGAATTTTCTTATGCATTAACACATCGGTAGCAATAGTCAAGCAGATGGCATGGACGGTTGCGGATTGGCGGCATATCGTATTTAACACGTTCGCTGCCATATCACTCCATAAATTTAAACGATCCATTTGCCCTGATATTATAATCAATTATTTTCATCATCATTCCATTGTCCATATGATTCTATTTCGATGACAGTTTCTTGGTGCGCTACTTTACTTAGCAATGAGTGTATATTTATGATTATATTATGTATGTGAAAAATTAAGAAATTGTAAAACGGAGGCCATCCTAAGCCGCAAGAGAAATAGGAAGTATAAATAAATAATGAATAATATTAATAATACGTACAAGCCAAAAATCTAAGTTTCTTAATCAATTACAATAACTTACTTGTAAATTTTTTTTTCACTGATATCACTCCAAAAGATCATTCCAGTGCGAAAGACGAAATCTAAAGCTGTTGCCATTTTAGTGTTATTTACAATGGCGGTCATTTCTTGACGATCCAAAGCTACCTTTCTGATATCATGTCGACGAGCGAACAACAAACTCGCATGACCTTCAGCTGCTTTACAACGTGTTAAATTCCGTGGATCTTTAAGATAACCGGTGGCACAACTGCATTTAAAACTGCCCTTTTCATTCTGACAGAATTGAGAACAGCTGCCAGGCTCCAAACACTCATTAATATCTGAAAAATAAAATAACTTCTGTATTATAAATATTATTTTGTAATATGATATCTCAATTTTTCAATTCGTATTTTTCAAGGTGCACAATAAAACTTTATATTAGGTTTACTATATATATGAAGTTTGGAATTCTTAGTTGTTGAACTTTTTCTTTTACCATCACACGTGCGATTATCGATGAGCCTATAGCCTTCATTACAATCGCATCGATAACCAATAGGTAAATCGACACAAATCTGCGAACATCCACCGTTATTCTTTGCACATTCATTTACGCCACAGTATTGAATGCTCTCATCTTCCCAGCCTATGCAATCAGGATTTTTGTTACAAACATGTTCTAGAGGAATACATGAGCCTTCGCTACATTCGAACTGAATCTGTGGATCACAGCTTGTGATTTTGCCCGTGCAATTCTTTTCATCGCTTCCGTCAGCACATTCAGTTTTACCATTACAATACAGATGACCTAAACATACAAATTATTAATATTTCTAAATTTCTTTTCACTTTAAACTTAAATTATAGTGAATTACTGTCATTTTTGTATATAAAATACACAAAATGATAATTACACAGTTTACCATAAAGTGTTAACGTGTTCAGTAAATCATTTTCTCGCTCGTAGATCGTTAGTAATTTTACATTTAATTTAATATTGAACATAAGCAATTTATAATGGAAATAAATTTCATATTTCGCATTCATTGCCAGTATAATATATTCAATCGAACGTTAAATACCTGATATGCAAGAACGTTGATCTTCGCATTGAAATTGATCAGGTCTACATGTAACATTCTGACATATCCGCGGGAATTCGTCCGCACCATTTGGGCAGTCCTTTTCACCATCGCATACCCAAGTCTGATGTATGCAAGTTATGCCGTCGTTGCAATCAAATTCTTTGTTGCAATGGTTTATTTTTTCTCCATTTGCAGGTTCCTAAGAAGGAATATTACAAAGAAACATTAGATCTTTCTCTCTTTCTCTCTCCTCTCTCTTGTTTTTTCTACTTAAATATTTTTTAACGCGTTAAAACTATTGGAATAAACAATTTGGTTGTAAATATTTCCTTTGCTACCAGTTTCCTTTTAGTAACATTTAATTGTATTATTATAAAATTATTATAAGCATAAAATAATTTTCTTATTTCCACGTGATAAATCATCTAGATGATTAATAATTTCCTATGGTTATATATTATTTAGATATTCAATTTTATGAAATAAAAATAAATATAATCTTACTCAACTCCACCATTTGATAGTTTAGCAAGATTAATATTTTGATTGCCGCTATCATGTATATAAAATGATTCTGCTGGTGGCTATCGCTTTATAAATAAATATTTTTCAATGAAAATTGATATAATCGCAATATTGTAAGAGTTATATAAAGCTATACGGATATAAAGATATACGGATTGATACAAGGAGAATGATATTCGTCTCTTTAAATATCGTCTAAATAAACTTTTACAATCTGATGAGGACAGTCAAAGATTTTCTGGAATAAGTGCGATTGTCAAAGTGTTAATACAAAACACCAAGTACCTGACATCCTATCTCATCAGATCGATCAGGACAATCATAGTCACCGTCACATCTCCATCGCGATGTTATGCAATAATTTTCGGAGCACGCAAAATCAGTGCCAGGATGACAAGTTATCGGTCCGCAAGCTTTCTCGTCACTGTTGTCTCCGCAATCATTGTCATTATCGCATACCCACAGCTGTTGGATGCAGTGCTTATTCGCACAGGTAAACTCGTCAGATCGGCAAGTGTCGTCTGAGATGAAAAATTTTCATATGAGAAAGAAAAATTTTCATATGAGAAATATGAATAAAAGTAAAACATTTAACGTAATTTATTTGTGAAGTAATAATATTAATCTTCAAAAAAGTCAAAATTTAATATAAAGCAAAATAAAGATTATTTGAATAATTCCTAGCTTTTTTTAACAACGACGATTAATCAATAACAAAGGGTACTCGATATATCATTGTGATTAAAAAAAAAAAAGTAGAAAAAAAATATTATTTTGATAATCTTGAAAAAATATATCTCTGCATTATGTATTATTAATTATAAATCTAATGTATATATATATATTGGATGTTTCAGACAAAAGTTGTAGGATATAAAAAGACCCATTTATTGATATTATTTGATATAGTTTGACCTTGGGTGGTGTCGCCAAGGTCAGAATAAGGTCAACTTCAATTTTTTTAACGGAACCCCTTACTTTTTATTGCATATTCTTATAGGTTACCCCGAGAGCTTTTCAAAACATTATAAAAAAGTATTTCTTCGTTAAACATTTTTCGATTTATAAGGCTTGGAAGTTGCAATACCGCCGTCATTATCCAAGCACTATCCAAGACACACAGCAGAGAAAGTTTGGAGTCAGAAAATAATACAGAAGTAATGAACTTATACGGTCTTTATATCTACTTTGGGCTAATACTTGTGCCGGCGATATTGCAACTTCTAAGCCTTATAAATCGAAAAATGTTTAATGAAGAAATACTTTTTTTATAATGTTTTGAGAAGCTCTCGGAATAAGCTATAAGAATATGCAGCAAAAAGTAGGGGATTCCAATTAAAAAATTCAAGGTGACCTTGTTTTGACTTCGGCGACGTCACCCATGGTCAAACTGATAATATTAGTAAATGAATCTTTTTATATCCTACAACTTTTGTCTGAAACATTTTTCAAAATAACCACTTCCCTTGTTTTCAAATGGGGTGTACGGGTAGTCTGAAACACACGATCTTATATGTAAGGTGTCCCATTTTAAATGATGCCCTCAAATATCTCATGAACAGTGCATTTTGGAGAAAAATGTTTCATACAATAGTTGTAAAGTTTGGAGGAGGATATAAGACGATGTCATTGGTTTGATCTTTAATAGTCTTTTGAAGGTCACATGAAGGTCACCTTCAATTTCTTAAATAGAAATTCCTACTTTTAATTGCATATTCTTATAGTTTACCTCAAGAGCTTTTCAAAACATTATAATAAAATATTTTTGCATTAAGTACTTTTCATGTTATAAGGCTTGAATGTTGCAATACCGCCAACATTAGTACTACTCAAGGTATAATAGATACAAAGACTCCATGGCTCGTCAGTCCCGTAATATTTTCTGACTCCGCACCCTCTCTGCTGTGTGTGTGTGTGTGTGTGTGTGCGCGCGCGCGAGTATCACAGAGATAAGGACCCCACAAGGTCCTTATCTCTGCTAACACACACACACACACACACACACACTTACATACACAGCAGAGAAGGTTTGGAGTCAGAAAATACTGCAAGAGGGATCCTTATATCTACCTTTGGTAGTGCTAATGCCGGTGGTATTGCAAATTTCAAGCCTTATAACTCAAAAAGTACTTAATGCAAAAATATTTGTTTGCAGTGTTTTGGAAAGGTCTCAAGAAAAGCTATAACAATATGCAATAAAATCTAGGGAGCTCCGTTAAAAAAAAAATTGACCTTTAAATGACCTTCAAATTCGACCTCAGGGTAAAAATCAACGTCACCACTAAGTTCCGCCCTCAAAATTCTAAAACTTTTGTATGAACTCTTTTTCTTGTTAAAGTACGCAATCTAGAAATATTTCAGGGTTTCTATAATTTTGTCTCACCCTGTACACGCACACACGCACGTACATATATACAATAGAGTAGTGTATATACATATAGAGAGTGTTCCATCTTAATATCTCTTCTGTAACTCACAGATAAAAATTTTTCAGACAAAAGTTGCATGGTTTGGAGGGGCACAGACATATGATGAAAATATGAATATAATCTTCAGTGACCTTTTCAAGGTCAAGTCAAAGTCACATAAAAATTTTTAATTAAAAACCTACATTATTTCATATTCTTGTAGCTGACCTCAAGACCTTATCAAAACACTATAATAAAGTATTATTCCTTTAAGTAGTTTCTGAGTTGAGATTTCGAAAGTTCGAAAGTTAACAGATCAAGATTAAATCAACCCACTATCTTAAAGCAATTAAGTTTGAACTAAGAAAGAGTGATGACTTTGATTGGCTTTTACATCGTGTCCTCAGACTCAGGTCGAGGTCACTTTGAATTTTTAAAATTTATTTTCTATTCTATTTTTGTTCTACTTTTAGCGTTACCTAGAAACAACGAAAGTACGAGTGTAGCATAATAGACAGCGCGCGGGTCTACTATGCTTAGAGGTCACGGGTTCAATTCCGGCAGAGCCAGAAAAATTTTCATACGCTCATGTCGTCCTCTGGACGGTCTGGCAAAGCCACCAGAGAGTGTATTTGCCCAAAGCATCTCTCGCAAAAAGTATACCGTTCGGAGTCAACGTTAAACTGTAGGTCCCGTATGCCTGCGTATAATCAACATGCGCAACATAGGCATATGCGTGTGTAAGAGGAAAAACAGGCCTGCAAGGTCTATTGTAAAGAAGAAGAAGAAGTTGATTTAACCCTTAGCTGTCAACTTTCGAGTCTTATAACTCAGAATGTACTTAATAAAAAAAATACTTTAATGACTACTTATACTTTTATACTTTATAATGTATCGAAAAGGTCATAAAGCCAGCTGCAAAAAATGGGAAATAAAAAATGGAGGTTTCCATTAAAAAATTTTTAGATGACTGACCTGACCTTGAGAAGGTCACTCAAGGTGAAGTCCGTATTTTCCTCATGTGTTCTTCTGCAAACCATGTAACTACCACGGGATAACATGCAAAATTAGTCGGAAGTCAACAATTCTCTAAGACCTATTTTCATTAAATAGGACGTTTTTTTTATTATCTTGCAACACACCGAAGACAATTTCGATACAACATTGAATAAATTAAAATGATAGAAATTTCAAGCAACTGCTGTAAATGTATAAACAAACATACATAAATATATACAAATATGAGTACAAATCTGACTGTGCAACTTTCTAATGATACATCTTGGGTAACATTTATGCGTTATCGGTGTAATCTGTGATAATTTTGTCAAAAATTTTATGTTACATATTTTTAGAATAAATTTCTTCTGTTACGATGAAAACGGAGAAAACAAAAATAAAGTTAGGCATTTAAAAATATTCGATTAAAAAATAACTTATGCTATATCTTAAAATTACTTTAACAGATCTCAAAGATGCATAAGCCTTAAATCTTTCAGCTTTCATTCTTTTCAGCTATAAAACTTTACAGCTTTTTATTTAAAAAATTTTGTCAACATCACTTAATTTATAACTTAATCAACCATTCAAATTAAAAAGGTGCTTCTTATATATAATGCGTAGAATATAAAAGATTTCATAACATCACAACTTTCACATGTATATTAACATGTAATTTAGATAATAAATATAAATATCTTAATAAGAATGAATGCATGCATGTACGATGTACACATATGCAGATGTAATATAACTACCATTCCAGAAATCAACGTATTAATGTAATAAAAAATGTAATAAAACATTTATCCTATCATCTTACAAATTATATTACAGGCCATTTGCATTTTTAAATATACGAGTTTCCTAAAAAAATAAAATTTCCAGCTGTCACATAATTTCGAGTAAGATAATTACCTAATAAATATCTTTTCGATCAACAATAATTGCTGCGAAACTATTTAACACGTTCGCTGCCAACTACAAGTATACTCGTAGTTGGTATATGAGCCTCACAAGCCAACTACTCGTATGTCGATAACCGACCTCCTATGCCAAGCACGAGTTAATCCGTAGTATAAGCACGTTAATTTGGATCTTTGATTTAAGATGAATAAAGCAGAGAGCATGTTTGGTGGCTTAGTAGAAGGAAATATGCCCGAAGAGCATGGCAGCGAACGTGTTAATAACGAATAAAAAGTTATCAATCATGTGTTGTAATTTTAAATTTTATTTGAGAAATAGGAAATTGTTCGTCTTATTGGAAGAAAAAATTTTATGAAAAAAAGTCTTATTAAAAAATATATATATGAGTAACATATACAATAAGATATACAGTATATATACAGTATATATATATATATAATAATAATAAATACCATATATAATAATAATTATAAATACCATATATATATATATATATATATA